GTATCAGGCTGAGCTTGAGCTCATCTTCTTCACCAAGCCTGGCTCTCTATCCACTAATTCTTGCTGTCTCTCAACTCCATAACAGGATTAATTCAGAATACCAAATTAAAACTCCTTACAATAATAATCAACCAGACTCTGGTTTCATCTAAAAAATGAAACACATTTGAATTTAAAATCCTTAGATCTCCTCAAGTTCCTATACTTAACAAAGATTGCCAACTCTCCCCCCTCCCAATTCTCTGCCTAATGTTACAATTGGACCAGTTTTAAAGCAGACTATTTTGCAAATACAAATGATTTTGGATCATCTGCATGAGGATTTTCTGCAGTGAATTTTTAATTCCTTTTCTATGTCTGGGAATAATCAAGAGGAAACTCTAATCAGTTTCTAAGTGTTAAGGAGCAGGGTTTTCAGTTTTTTATTTTCCTTTTAATTACATGCATAGGGGGACAACAAGCAATGACTTTTCCATTGGCTTTCCCATTGCCTCTAGTATATAATATAAACTCCTTGACCTCCAAAATCTGGACTCAACCTATCTTTCTAGACTTTTTTCACATTACTACCTTTCCCAAACTTGATGTTATAGTCGACTGTTTTCTGATCTCAATGTCATCTCCTCCATCCTATATACTTCCCTAAGTCAGGGCTTCTTAATTTTTGTGTCATTAGTCTTTTTGATAGTCTGGTAAGCCAGTAAACTCTTTCTCAGAATGTTTTAAATGCATAAAATAAAATATGTAAGATTACAAAGGAAACCAATTATATTGAAATAGGTATCAAAACATTCTTCAAAAATTCACAGACCCAGGGTAGTTAGGTGGTACAGTGGGTAGAGCACTGGTCCTGGAGTCAGGAGGACCTGAGTTCAAATTCCACCTCAGACACTTAACCCCAATTGCCTCACCAAAAAAAAAAAAAAAGTTCACAGACCCCAGGTTAAAAACACTTGTGTCAAATCACCCAAGGAGACAGAGGCCTTAGGGCTGCCCACTGGATTTCCTCTACCAACCTGAAGCCTCATGCCAGCCCTGAAATTCATATATTGGCCTCACCCCTGTGGCATCCCTCTGATTGGATGGCTCCTCCTAGAACCTCCATTTATGGAGGGTGTCTAGGCCAACCAACGATGACTCATTTCTTCTAGGCTGTACTCAGGATTTCCTGTACTATGCCCAATACAACACAAGGCACCCTAGTCTCTCCCCTGACCTTTTTAGCTTCCTGTTATGTGTGGTCTTTTCCCATTAGAATGTAAGCCCCTCGAGGACAGGGGCTGTCCTTCTTTCTACTTGTATGGACACCTCTAGCTCTGACACACACTAAGTGTTTAATAAATAATCATTGACTGACTGATTGATTTATCTTTCACAATCTTTATCTTCCTTAAAGCCAACTCTTCTATGAAGTCTTCCTGACCTCTCCCCTCATTCTTACTGTTATCCTCCACCAAATTCTTACTGTTTTCCCCTTCCTCAAATTGCCTTGTATTATATTTGCATACTTCTATTTCCTCATTAGAATGTAAGCTCTCTACTTTGGTCATTATTCCCAATGCCTAGCCCAATGCCTTTCTTGCACTTATTATCAAACTGAATTGAGGATGAAGCCTACCCAATATGCCTAATAGAATTTAGAATTTTATAATCACGCTTTATACGAGATTTGCCTGCTTTATGGGAGTACTCAAAAGGCCAAGTACTTCAGAAGTTACAGTAACTAAACAACAAAAGACAGACAAGCCTGCCATGACATTTTAGCAACACTGGCTATTTATTACTCACTTATTTTCTATCTTCTCTTGAATACAAATTACTCACACTTTCTTTTCTATCTTATTTGAAATAGTCATGTTAATAGTTACGTGACTTAAGGAAAGAGGCAGTATGGAGTAATAGCTAACATTAATTATGCCTGCACACTGAACTAAATGACTCCTAAATGGAGAGAACTCAGTAAGAGGAAGCTGAGGCAGTAGTAAAATGACTTGCCCAAAGTCACACAGCTAATAAATGTCTGAGGCTGGATTTACACCTAGGTCTTCCTGACTTCCTGGGTAGCTTGGTGATGCAGTAGATAGAGTCTCCTGGTCTGGAGTTAGGAACACTCATCTTCCTGAGTTCAAATCTGGCCTCAGATACTTACTAGCTGTGTGACCCTGGGCTAGTCACTTAACCTTGTTTGCCTTAGTTTCCTCATCTACAAAATGAGCTGGAGAAGAAAATGGCAATCCACTCCAGTATCTTTGCCAAGAAAATCTCATTGTTTCAGTTTGAACTTACTGTGCCACCTAGCTCCAAGTAGTTCTGGCTAGTAAGCCAACCTGGGAGTAAAAACAAAAAAATCTGGATTCCTGCTCTTAACACAAACTGGCTGGGTGATCCTAACAAGTCACTTGACCTTTAAGAGCCACCAAAAACTCTCTAAGTCTTTAAATTGCAGAGAAAGTGCTGATCTGGACTAATAAGGGTATTTCTTCATCAGGAGCTCCGTAACATACACATTTACATGGTTCTTCTCCGAAAGGCAATAAAAATCCTAAGACTTCAGAGTTCAGTGAAACCTCAGAGATGATCAAGGCCACACACTCACATTTTATTAATAAAGTAAGACTGAGGGAGACTTGTCTACGGTCACACAGGATAGCCCAGTAAATATGTAAGTGTAAATAGTATTGGATTTTAATCCAGGATAAATAAGGGTTAGAATCCCACCTCACTCTAGGCAGCTGAATCACTTAACTTTTCTGCACCCCAGTTTTCTCATTTGTGAAATGGAAAAAAAAACATCCTTGGGTTCTAATCCTGACTCCACCACTAACTACTTGTGTAACATAGAGAACTTAACTTTTGTAAGCCTCAGTTTCCTCAACTGTAAAATGAATGGGTCACAGCACACAATTTCTTTTTTTTTTAACTTTATATATAAATTTATTTTTAGTTTTCAATATCTACTTCCACAAGATTTTGAGTTCCAAATTTTCACCCCATCTCGTAGAGCACACAATTTCTAAGATCTCTTTTAGCTCTGAATTGGAGACCCTATGTAGCACCTACCTTAAAGGGTCTTTGTGAGGAAGGCACTTAAATGAGATGTTTTAAATATTATACTGTCTCAGAACCCAGAACCACTATAGCCAGCTGGCTCTAAGCTGCGAGCGATTTTACCTCTCAAACCTCCCCTCTTTGTACTGGTTTAATTTTGTGATAGTGGAAATGGGGAAACCCAACAACAATACTATAATAATTGCTTTAGGGTTGTTTTCTTTGGGCTGTTTCTTGGTCAAGAAAATTAATTTTGAGAGAAATTTCTTGGTGGATTCTCCACTGGAAGGGAAAGCTTCAATTTAGTGATTGAAAATTTAATTGCTGGAGGCAGAAGCCAAAACATTCCAAGTGATTGTTCTCATAACTACCCAATTTTGAATGTGTTTGCTCTTTTCTGAAAACACACCCAAGTAAGTGAAAATGTGTATAACAGCAATTTTAATGCCAAGACCCATGAACCTCAAAGTGAGATAAAAAATGTAAAGCATTTTGCAAACCTTAAAGCATTATTATTAGTAACATTATTATTATAATTGAGGTCTTAAAAACCAGGTGCAGGTTTAAGCTACTAAAGCTTAAGACTTTTGGGATACTGTTTTTATTGAATTTCTGGAATAGAACCATAAGCTTTGGTGATGAAAGGGATCCTTAGATCCTTCATTTATCCAATACCCTCATTTTACAGATGAGGAAACTGAGACCCAGAGAAGTAACTTACACAAGTAAGTAGTAATTTAATACACAAGTAGTAGTAAGTAGCAGAGGCCAAGATTTCAGCTGAGGTCCTCTGACTCCAAATGATTTCCACTAAAACCACATTGACTTGCACTTTCACAATCCCTCTTGTTAAATGAAAATTTGAACATGTTGTAAACTGAAGAACCCTAGGAGTCCCTACCTGCCTCTATCCATTTCCATTTTCTTCTTCTCACTCCATTTATGCAAGTAAATAGTAAATATTACCTCCCCTTAACTTACAGATTCCATTCTATTCACAAAAATTTACTGAATTGACCTAACTCTAAAAAAATAAGATTTTTGAGGGGATGCCAAGGCCAGGTTGGGATTCTATAGGCCACGTGGCATACTGTAAAGGATACTGCAGGGCTTTCCTTAGCATTGGAAACCCACTTTCTTTTCAACTTTAACCTGAGGACATGCTGGATCACAGCTGGAGAATAAAGGAAGAGTGGACAGCAATTATATAAAACACCAGAGCAAAAACCTTTAAGCACCAGAGGCCTCACACCCTGGAGGGGCTCTCCAGGTAAGGACAGAGGTCGGCTGCCTAAATCTCATAATCCCACATTGATCCCGTCAAATTTTCTTTTTAATCTTACGGTAGAACCAAGGCATTGGAGGTAGGCGGAAAGGAAGGTAGGAAAATCCAAGCGGTAGATTAATAAAGCGCGGACCCACCTGCCTCTTATCTGCATCCTCTTCATCCCTAACCCCTCACTCCCATTTCTGAAAGCTAGGCCTAGAGTTAGGAAGGTTTGGAGCAGTGAAGACAAAAGGCAAGGTCAAAGCCCAAGGTAGGGTGGCTGGGGCTTTTGTGAGTGGATGAAGAAGAAGGAAAAAAGTCTGGAGTGTAGGAGAGATGAAGAAGAAGGAAAAAAGTCTGGAGTGTAGGAGAGATTGAGAAAAAGAGAGAAAATAAAGAAAGGGCTGGGTTTTTTGGTATTTGCTGGGTTAGGTCTTTCTAGGGGTAAGGATGGAGGATCTTTGTTGGAAGATGGAAACAAAGTGTCCCTGGGAGACACTGGGCGCTGCACGAGGGTTCTCTCCATCGCTAGGACAGAGAAGGCAGCCTGAGAAGGATTACGAAAAGGTATTCCATTCCTGTTTGGAAAGAGATCGCCAAGGGTAGGGGCCTGGAGGGAGGGATGTAGGAGATACAGAGGGTGTGGGCGCTCACTACTGCCCGGAAATCAAGAGTTTCCATTTACCACGACCCCACGCCCGTTGTCTCGCGCCTCCTCTCTCTTCCCAGCCATGTTTCTCCCGGAGGAAAGCAGGAAGGAAAGAAAGAAAGGGAGCTCGAAACTCCTGGGAGGGGGTGAATGGGCAGGAGGGGCGGGAACAGGGAGGGGAGGGGGATGCGGCGCCGGGTACCGGTCGCTGGGGACCGCTCCGCCCCCGCCCCCAGCCAGCTGGCGGGAAAGGATCGCTCTGCTGCCCCGGGCGTCCATTGGCTGGGCGCCAATCCCTCCTTCTGCTGCTTCTTCCCTCCCCAGCACTCAGCTTCGGGAGGATGCTCTGCTAAGCTGCCTGAGGACCTGCTGCTGACTCAGGGAGGATTTGCTTTTTCCCGGCGGCGGTTCAGCGCTAGGGCTACTTGGCTCTGGAGTCCTAGTGGGAGCCCCTGCATGGCCTCTCACCACCCAGCCACACCCAGTGTATGCTCCACCCGAGCTGCTGAACTGGGAACCTCAGGGTGCTTGTGTCCCTGAGGTATCTGAAAGCCCTGAAGGACCGAGAAAAATGGAGAAAGTAGTGTCAAAGTAGAGTTCTTTCCCCACCCCCAAACATCTCTTTTTAAATCTGAGTTTTATCTTCAACAGATATTTCAATTATTTAGAAAACAATAAAGGAGATGGCATAAAAACACTGAACTGTCATGTATAGTTTTTTTTTAATAGAAAGTTGTACACATTACAATTAACATGGTAGTACAAAATTTCTCTTTTTGTGTCTCCATTCTGTAATTCTTTTTTATTTCTTCTGTGAATTTTAAAACATCTTATTGACACTCATTCCCCTCCTTGCATTATCTATTGCTACTTTCCACAGGGCCTTTCATTCCCCTCCTTTGCATTATCTGTTGCTACTTTCCACAGGACCTTTCTCTGCTTAGAATCTCTCCCTTGTAACAAATATGTTTAGTCAAGAAAAATAAAACAGCACATTGGCCAAAATAGATTTCTGAGAGAATGAAGGGGGAGCAGGGGATTTCCATTTGCTTTTATCCTGCCTAATTCTCACTCTGTTCCTCAAAGAAATCAGACGCCTCTAAGGTCATATCCTAGACATATGAGTCCTTGTGATATGTGTTTTTCCCTTTTTTATTAATGATCATGGTCTCTGAACTCTCTCCATGTTTTCCACATCCCCTCAAGTTGTGGAGCCCAGAACTGGACACAATATTCCCTTAAGGTCTGACCCAGAGAACTCCCCAGTGATTATGGTGGAGGGTCTTTCTCAAATATGAACTGTACTAGGCTGCTGAGGTCACTTCTAGCTCTGAAGTTCTGTGGTGCTCTGAAAATGAATTCGTTCAGGTCCCTTCCAGCTCTGAGACTGTGATTCTGTGATATTTGAACTGACACTATGAAACCTGAATCAATCTGGTACATTTTAGAATAACCCAATTTAGGCCTGAAAGGGACTTGGGATAAGGTTCAGTGTAACTTCTGGCTTGCTGAAACATTCTTAAACCATCCCCAGACATATGAGAATCTATAATGTGTGTGTTTTCCCTTTTATATAAATCCATGACCCCTGTCTTTGAACTCTTTCCAAGTTTTCCACACCCTCTCAAGTAATGGAGCCCAGAACTGGACATAGTACTCCACCAAGGGTCTGACTCAGAACTCTCCCCAAGGATTACTGTTTTATTCTTCAGATTTGGGTAGAAGCCAGGAAAAGGAATATGACCTTTGCCAAGCCTAAGGGGATAGGAGGGGAGGATAGTCATCAATTACTTTTTATTGAACACCTACAGGGTGGGAAAACATATCAGCTGCATGAACACTGTCTCCTGAACATGAAGAGCACGATTAAAAAGATTCTGAGTGTCCATTACATGTGGTGGTTTCTAAACTGGCAGGGTAGATAATGCAACTTAGTGAATTTTGGTGCTTAAGCTCAAGTATGATTTCACCTAAAATGAAAAACATCAGTGAACACATCAGGTCAGGTCAGCATTTTCACACCAAAATGCTGAAAACTAATCCAGAGCAGACTCTAATGAACATTTTTCATTGATTTCACAGAATCAAAAGTCCACCCTCCCAGATACTTCCACCCTCCTGGGTGATGTACCATCATTCTGCAGATTCCGTTCTATTGATTTACTTATCTGCCTTCATGTTGTAGCCTTCCCTGGAACACAAAAACCCCAAGGAAAGGCACTTTCATTTTTGTCTTTGTATCACCACAGCCCAGTTCCTATCACGTAGTAGGTACTTCATGTTTGTTGAATTGGATGAATCAAAGAAGGTAAAGTAATGTTTTATGGGAAGTTAATTACATGAGAACAGTGGTATATGTGGGCAGCTAGTATTTAGTGACTTTATAGTAGGTTTGGGCTATAATTCGTTAACAATGACAAAATAAATTTTATTGATATCTTTGGTTTTTGTACCACCAGAATATATCTCTTGGTATCCCTTCCCCTGCCCCTTCCAAAGAGCCATCACATATAGCAAACAATATTTTTTAAAGAAAAAAAAGACAGCAAAACCAATTAATACCTTGAAAAAGTAGGAAAACATGCAATGCCCCATAGTCATGGACCTCTCAAATCTTCAATGGAATAGGATAGAGGTATCTTCTCATTTTCTTCTTTAGGGCCATGTTGTTTATTTGTTGTTGGGTTTTTTTTTTAATTTTGGAATATTTACCTTTTACCTGTTCTGTGTTTTTTCCCATTTCCCTTAACAATGACTTTTTTTTTTGCTTTTTGATGAGGCAATCAGGGTTAAGTGACTTGTCCAGGGTCACACAGCTAGTAAGTGTCAAGTGTCTGAGGCCAAACAATGACTTTCAAAAAAGTTTTATTGATGCCTTTCGTTCTTCCACCATGTTAATTTCCTGAGAAAACCCCTCTCCCCCCAAACCTTCCCTTGTTGCAAAGAAAAACCTAAGCAAATCTGACCCAGTAACTAATATACCAGAGTATGCAACACTCATATCCATACTTCCCCCACTTCTCTATCAATTATTTCGTTTACACTATTGTAGTCATTGAATACATTGTTCTCATTTTGCTTACTTCATTCTTTATCACTATATATCGATCTTCCCATTTCTCGGAAACTCTCATAATTCGTAGCTTTAACAATTCTATTGCAACCTTATATGTGGGATGCCTGTACTTCTTGACCAAACTGGCACTATTAGGCAAATTATGATTTCAACTGTGTAGAAATTGGGGGAGGAAATGCAGAGACAGTTATTCTGTGACTAGCAGTGGGAAGGACACCGCCAAGTTAAGTGAGTTACTAAGAGCCCCACAATCTGTATGTCAGAGTCAGGAAAGAGGTGAACCCATTTTCCTCAGTCCAAGGCTAGGTGTCTATCTATTACCCTACCTGATCTCTCTGTATAAGGGTTGTAGCTGAGTTAATTAATGCATGTAACTATTTGGTTGAGAGTATAGAGTGTTCAACTTGGAATCGGAAGACCTGAATTTGAGTTCTTCCTCAGACACTTACTAGTTGTGTAACCCTAAACACCCCTTAACCTCTCTGAGCTTCAGTTTCCTCATGTGTAAAATGAGGAAAAGAATAACATTTATTGAATAGAGTTATTATAAGGATCACATTCAATTACATATATATAATATATATATATATATATATATATATATATATATATATGGCACACATATGTACATATGTATGTGTGTCATGTTTTGTAAACCTTAGAGCATTATAGCAATTATTACATAAAGGCAGCATGGCACAGGGAAAATGATGATGGATTCGAATCCAGAGGACCAGAGTTTCCAGTCAGAACCTGACACCTTTACTTGTATGACTTTGGCCAAACCATTGACCCTGTGGGGGCCTTAGTTTCTTTCTATGTAGAATTAGGGGGTTGGACAAAGTGGCTTTTAAGATCCTTTCCAGCCCTAAATCTATGACCTTGTAAATACTTTGTAAAAACCATAAAGCAACATGTTAGCGAGTTATCAGATGGTTTATCTTCACTTTACTTGATAGTTGAAAAAATATTTCATTTCTGTGAATACTAACTCCAGTGAAAAAGATTGAAATCCTCTTATACTCCATCCCATATCAGTCTTGTCCCTGTTTCCCTATAAACTTTTCATAAAGGAAGTATCCAATGAACTAGAAGTCTTTCTTTTATTTTATCTTTTTTTAGGAACATTGAAAGCACTTTACAATTTCCTGATTACATTCCAAATTGATATCCGTTTAATTCTAGGCCCAGATCATTATCCATTTGCATCACTTATCTCACATATTTATGTTCATGAACTAACTTGTCAGTTGCCTATGCAACTACTTGTTTTAATCTGAGCAATATGAACTTTCATCCACTTTGTTTTTCCAGTGTAAATGGTTACATTAATGTCTTTTGCATTTCTATGAATTTCACTGTGTAATGTTCAGAGTTTGATTGCCAACCTGGATCTTATGACAAGAAATAGAAAACAGACCCCTGCCATTAGATAACTTATGATCTAGTTGCAGAGATTGTATGAAACAGCAAAATAACAGAGTTAGCAAATGTTGAAAATCACAAGAATCTATAGTATCTCTTTTTAAATAATAATTAAAAATAATTTATACATGCAACCTCATAACTGCACCCTGAAAAATTGTAGATTGTCATAGGAGGGAATGGAATCCATATAACCACGGCTTTGGAAATGTCCATTTGCCTATTCATCCAGAGCAAAAAGTGCTTGCTGAGCATGAGGAATGAGGAAGAAAAAGTAAACTTGATTCATTTTGCTACTTCCTCTGACTCCAGGTGTTTAATTATAAGATAGCTTTGATGTATTGCCTTAATGTGATAAAATTCAGTACTAAAGGTTACAAATAGGGGCAAGGAAACCCTAGTATAATACTTTTTAGGTAGTGCAAAGTTTATTTTTCAAAGAATAACTTAACTCAAATAGCTTGTCATTGACACATTGTATAGCCTGGGGAAAGTACACTGGGATTTGGCCCTGCCTCATTGGTCTTCTGTGAAGAGTTCTTGACTAGGTGTTAGCAGTTCTTTGTTCTTGTCCTACTTCTGGCATTAACTGACCATGA